TGAACCGCAGAGTGCTCCAGGAACCTCCGAGACTGGTTGGCAGCAGCGGGACCCCAGCTGTTGCCAGCCGCAGGGATCAGCCAGGGCTCTGGGCCCCCGGGAAACCTGCTGCTTCCAGCACTGAAGGTGCTCCCTCTGCTCATCTTCACCAGGACCCAATCCACAAGCAGGAGCAGGAACTCAATGTGAGCACAGTGCAGCGGCAGGAGGCCAGCCCCAGCTTCCATCCTGCATCTGCACAGGGACTGAACAGCAACTGCACTGCTAAGGCAGACTAAGAGCCAAGCTAGGCTGCCAGGTCCCTCGGGAGGTCACACCTAGCCCACCCTCTGCTCAATCCCTGGCTGAACCCCCCCAGCCAAGCTGAAGCATGAGAGTCCCTTTGAAAAAGCCAGCTCCAGCTCTGTGGCAACCACGCTGGACTCCTAACCGAGGGCCCAGGGACTGCCGCATATGCCCCAAAGCAGGAGCTCCTTTGCCAGAGTGACACGAGCACCGCAGGGAACTCCTCGGTGCACCCCGGGGGCTCACCTGGGGGTTGTCCATGTACCACAGCAGGCAGTTGGCCTGGGTGTCCAGGATGAAGTACCTCCGCAGGAACTTGCCACAGGTCTCATTTTCTTCAATGTCCAGAAACCCACAGATGCGATTCTGCCGATCCACATAAGGCATGCCGGGCTCCTTGGACCATCACCCTGCAACACACGCACCAGCGGTAAACACCAAGCACACCCGCCGCTCCGCCAGCTGCCCCTGCCAACCCCTAGTGCCCTGCCAGCGTCCACGGCACTGCGGACGTGGTTGGGACTCACCCGCCTCTCACGCTGCTTTTGCCTGGCGGGCACCAGGTCCTTAGAGGGCATGGAGCACAAAGAAGCCAGGGGTGAGGAGGAACATCACCCTCCTGAGGTTTGCCATTGACCTGCCAAAGCTGCTCTGCTCCAGGTCAGGGAATCGTCAAGCCAGTCAGCAGCGGGCCAGTCTCACCACACCGGACAGGGAGCATTTGCAAAAGCCAGCTCCACCTTCTCCAAGCCACACACCATTTCACTGCACAGTGACTTATGAGTTACACGCCCCACTGGGCTCTAGCCCAATACGGCAGCCACACACCTTCCCGCAGGACGGCTGCAATAGGGATTAAAGGATCAGGAGCGTGATCCTGCCATCACCTCCACCCAGCAGGTTCCCACAGCAACCCCACGGAGCTCCAGAGCACTCCCTGCAGGCTCGTGGCTGCACGCCAGCCTCGGCCTTGGACCAGCCCTGCTATCGTCCAGACTTCCTGCCGCTGCTTCCAGGGCTCCAGAGCCCGTGGGTCCATGGAAAGACAACACCCCCTCCACCACCGTGCACGTGTGCCGTGGGAGGGCTGCCAGAGAAAGAACCCAGCCTCTCCTAAGCAGCAGGGGGGCACAGCCACGGCAATACAGGGGCACCAGTCAGACCACATCCAGAAAACACCAAAGCAGCTGAGCCGAGGGGCAGTGGGAGTGCAGAGGCTTCCAGGAACCACAGATGGACTGCATCAGTGTGCGCGGCTAGGCAGCAACTAGCAGGCTGGACCACACTGGCAGCTAGTAACGTGGGGACCGCACTGCTCCTCTCTCCCCTCCTGCTGAGACCTTACCACTGCACAGGGGCTGCCCAGAAGACACTGCAGTTGCAACAGCCCTGAGCAAAGCAGTGGTCCCAGGACCGAGGGGAGACAACACCTCAAAGCCCCCCCAGCAGGAGCAGTCACCAGTACAGGGAGGCAGGGCACCTGTCCTGGACTGCTCCAGGGGTACACACCAATCCACCGACTCAAAGCAAGCACGTCAGGAGGAACAGGACAGCTGCAGCACACGGGTGCAATGAACCCTGGAGGGTTTTACCCCAGGGCAAACACAAGCCACCCAGCCCCCGCCATCTTTCTCAACCAAGGCTCCAAGGAATGGGAAGCAAACTGCAGCTCCTGCAGAAAACGGGTCATGCCAGGATGCAGTCAGCGGGGAAAACAATGTCCAGGCCTCGCTGGGTGACAGCACGTCGCCCTCCTTGCTTGAGCCAAGAGCTCTTTCCGTGAGGACCCTCGTGGCTCAGAGCCCTGCCCAGAATGGCCCAGCTTGCTCCCTACCCCCAGCACTCAGGCAGGCTGCAGGGATGGGCCTGAATGCATTCAGAGAGCGCCAGAGCAACGGCAGCTGCACCAGACACAAACTTCCCCTTTGCAGTCCCTGGGAGTTTTCCAAGCACAAAAAGGAGAGCAGGGAAAGACTTAATCCCACCAAGAGCAATCCTCCCTTGCTGCCTGCCCTCTGTCTGGATACCACAGGGGCACTGGGGAAATCTGGCGCTAGGACAGCCATGGGCTGGGTTTGATAAGTAACTGGCTAAAAGACCAGTAGCTGCAGCCAGTTTGCACCAGTGCTCCAGTGAGATCCAGGGAGAAACCTGGGGCCTGGCTGGGCCGCACAGCTTGTGCACACACACTTGCCGTCAAAGTGGGAGTACAGTGCACTGCTCCAATTTGCCAGCGGCTTGCATGCACTTTGCACTGGTGTCAGTGACGGGATAGGGTGCAGCACCGTGGGGAAGGAGGCCCCTTAATGGTAAGCGCGGAGAAGTCAGTCTGTGGGGCTGGGTTACCTCGCATTTTGTGTCATCACTGACATCAGTGCTGCGTGGGCATGAGATGTCCACCCCGAGCCACTGTGCGCTGGTGCAAAGGCCAGGTGCAGAAGGTGCACAGTTAGAAAGGCACCGTCTCACTTGCCTTAGGGAGGAAATCTCATAACTGCTGTGATTCAAGGGGCCCGCAGGAGCGCTGGCTGCAGACTCTGGCCACAGCTTCCCGAGCGTGGACGGCAGAGTGTGCACGTGCGATACAGGAAGCACAAATAAGGAGCACACAGATATAGAGAAAACACCGGGGCATCCTCTGCCCAGCAGCTAATAAGACAGCAGAGGCAGGGACCCAGTCTGAGGCCATATGCTCCAGCCGGCAGCACCAGCATTTCGGGGTTCTCCGTCAAGCAAGGAGCCAGAGTGCGTTCACCTTGGAGAGAACGTGCACTGATTTGGGGGGATTTTTCACAGAGCCGCTGGTTGAGGTGTCTGAGGGTGGGTAGGAGGAGTGTAAGGGCACTGGTTCCCAGCTAGGGGCAGGACGGAGATAACCAAACCCAGAGCCAAACTGATTTTGTGCCGAGGCATCAGTGTCGGTCAGGCCCCAAGGCACTGCTGCTGCTCACACAGCCACAGGGCCACGGGGCGTGAGACGGGCAGGGAAGAGGAGCCTCGTGGAAATGCCTGGTCCATCTATATACCCAGGACCAAGTTCAGGACTCAACTCTGCTGGCCTCACCCTGCCAAGCACTGAGGCAGATGCCCACATGAGCTTGGAGGCAGGTCAAGCCCAGCGGGAAGCAGCTGAGGAGCCTTATAAGTCACAGGGCAGAGCGTGCATAAATGATCAGACAACTTCTCAGCCATATACCTCACCAGGGCATTCGCACCCATCCACCTACAAGCAGGCAAAGACTACTGAGCTGCCCTCCGTGCCCACCGCACAGCTTCCAGACTGAGGGGACTGCCAGCGATCCCAACAGTCTCCATTTTCATCCAAGGCCCGTCAACTCCGGGTCACGCAAAGTTTAAAAAAAAGCCCAGAGATAAAAGGGCAGCTGCTGTGTCCCGGGAGACGCAGATTAGCTGAGCTGGGCAACGGGCAGGGTGGTGCTGCGCTGCAGAAACCCTCTCTCCAGATTCAGTCACAGGCAGGACAGAAATCTGCAACTTTGGCTTTTTCTCCCCTCTGCCTTGACTGACCCGAGTCTGAACAGGAGGGTACAGACCGCTGAGCTCCCTCTGCACAGGAAAAGGGGATGGGGGTGACCTGGGGCTGCTCTCAGGCATGTGACAAGCAGGGGCTGGGGAGATTAGGAGCCCACTAAGCTTTCAGCACGCTGCAGGTGGGCAGCTACTATCCCCACCTCTCCCTTTGGTTACAGAGCCCCAGCCTTGGAGCCAGGCCCCTTCCCGACAGACCGTGCATTCTTGCAGTAATCATTGAGCCCCACACGGGTTCAAAGCCCCGTGCGAATCACCCGGCTGGTGTTACCGGGGTCAAGCCTTCACTTTTCACCCCAGCACTGCTCGTTGCTGGGGAGGGGACAGCAGATTCAGCCACTGGTCTGTTCTGCTGTAACATTTCCTGCCACATGCACATCTGCACCGAAATACTGTTACCCATCTTCAGCTCGCACCTCTGCACACCGGCTCGAGACAAGTTACCAAAAAATACAAGTTCAGCGTCGCAGACTAAAACAACTGGGAGTCTTCAGCCAGGGCAAGAACGTCCGCCCGAGACTCAGCCACCAATGATTTATCTGATCAGTAGGTCCCTTTGTTACCGGAGTAATCCCGCGCGCTGAAACAGATGACACATTTCTATTTCTATTTCCTGTATCTTTCAGAAGTGGAAGACAGTCAATTCCAAGACACGAGACAACGAGAAAGGACAGGCTGCAGAAACAGCAAGACACTCAGCTGTGCGGGCAGCGTTTAGGGCTGTTAATGAACCTGGACAGGCCCAGCAATCACAACTCATTACATTATCCCTCTGTAAGTATGGCCATTATGTAAACGCTGCAGACATCCTTATGGTGCCGAGCATAAGACATGACAGCACGTGTGTGAAATCTGAATCGGATTTCTGGCAGCCCGTCTGCAATCGGAAACTGGTCTAAAGAACTGCCCGAGCCTTGCCGTGAATCAGGCCCTTAGGATGTAATGACTGGATCCAATTTGTCACCTTGCGGCGAAGCACGGCCCAGACCGAAGCTCCAGTGCTTTCCGGGCTTCTCTCCTCGGACGGGAGTGTCTTTTTAGCGCCATTAGAGGTGCAACATATTCATAAACTTCCTCCAAAAAAAGCCCGGATCTCGCCCGGCTCAGCTCACAGCACGGCACGGGCAGTGAAGCTACTGGGGAGGATTTAGCGAAGAAGAGCCAACACAAACCCAGCTTGGTGCTGCATTTCAGCCGGATTAAGAAAGCTTCCCAGGAATTTCTGAAGCCAGCCAGGGATCAGCGAGCTTGCATTCAAACCCAGCAACACCATTGCTGCCAGTTTGGCAGGCTGTGGCCATGCCAGCGGGACTCCCCTCAGGCACCGGACGCGGTGCAAGACGGACCCCACTCCCTACAGCGGCCCTGCCCGAGCGCCACTCCTTCGTCCCCCCGTTTTTAGCAGCCGGCGCTCCTGGAGCAGTGCTGACGATGCCAGTCTAGCCGCCGATGCCAGCACGACGGCCAGGAAAACTGTCCTGCGAGGGACCGCAGACCGCCAGTGGGAAAAGCCGTGGAGCAAACCGCAAAGGACGGCAACCGAGGTGTCCCCACCGCGTTCAAGCCGGGGCCACCGTAGCACTGT